TTAAAAAAACCGACCAACTTTGGTCGGTAATTTTACTTTTTAATAAAACCGACCAACTTTGGTCGGTTATTTTCGTGCGAAAATATAATTAAAGAGTATAAATCAAATAAAAGACAGTCTTAAAACAAAATGTACCAATGGTCTAGTGGTAGAATAGTATCCTGCCACAGTACAGACCCCGGTTTGATTCCCAAATGGTGAATCTTTTTGTTACATAATTAAAATACCGACCAACTTTGGTCGGAATAAACCGACCAACTTTGGTCTTTTTTTTGCAATATTCTTTTTTTTTGAATTTAATTGACCGACCAAAGTTGGTCGGTAATTTCCGACCAACTTTGGTCGGTATTCCTTTCCGACCACAAAAATACCGTCCACACGTAAATGGTCGCGTTTTGGTCGGTTTTTGGCCATTACCGACCAACGTTGGTCGATTTTTTTGGTCGATTTTTACCGGATTTCTAGTAGTGTGACTTGATTGTGTAAATAAATTACTACAAGAAATTGCGATTTGTGGCGACTCTTTTAATCACCGATAATGTAAGGGCTTTCATTGCGACTTTAAAAAGTCTGCCCAACGTTTAGTGGCGGCAATAATTTAGTCGCCACTATATGTATTAAATTTCTTTTCCCATTTTGACTGAAAAAGTTTGTGGCCGCTAATCGCAACCAAAAGTATTTCAAAATTGATGGATAAATTAAGGAAATTTTTACATGGTATAACTAAATTATACACTATATTTATCATAAATAAATACACTTTAAATTAATTATTGGGTAATTCAAATCATTTTAATTTTCATTTTACATCTGAATTGCTGTGAAAATATTTTCGCCAAGGCTTGGATTAATGTGAATGTGCATCCACTTCTTTTGCATTATTATTAATGTTTCATTTTTCGCTTTTGTAGCGACTATAAAGCAAATAAATGCACCACTAAATAGATTTTAGGTATATAAAACACTACTTTCAGTAGCGAGTACCTGGGGTCGCCACAGTAAGTCGTTACTGAAAAATAGGCCGCTAGTGAAAAAGAGCACCTTGTATCAATACTTTTGCTAGCGACAACGGTTGTCGCCACGAAAGTTGTCCTAAAAACTTTATTTCGTGTGGTGCTCTAGCAATAACAAACATTAAAGTGTGTTATTGAAGCCAATTAGATTGATCTCTAAAGTATTACTTTTCTCTAGAAAATTAGCTAATCCAAACTATTTTTATGTTTATTATTATTATTATTATTATTACTTTCCACAAAAAGTTAATAAATGTACCAAAAAATAGATTTTAGGCACATGTACATATAGTACTGCTTTTAATGTTGACTTTAGCGCCACAGAATGTCGTTACTGAAACATTATTGGATAGAGGATTTGAAATGAAATGCATATGGATTCACAAAAAAGAAAAGGTTAAATATGCAAACGTAAAAGAAGAAGACAAACTAGTAGTAGTAGATTTGGTAACTTTAGATTGCAAGACATAGAAATTTTATAGATACTCAATTACATGCATCTATATCAAAGGACAAAGTGTTTGCTGAAGTATCAAAAGTTAATCCTACACCTTGAAGTTGATTACTTCCTAATATTGCGAAGGATCTATCCCATCCCGAAAAAGCCAGACAATATTGTCCACGAAAGTGCAGAATAACTCGTTCTTTTGCTAGTAACAACATGGTACTCGGGCTTACGCTACCAAAGTACAACTTCACAACAGGAAAGTTAAGTCCACGACCACTCGGATCCTCTTTATAGCAAGTGTCTAAAGATCCTGCTGGAGTATCAACCATAGGAATATCTCGTACTTCTTCTCTAAATACATAACGAAATATAGTGTAAAACTCCTGAGGAAAGTAGGAAATAGTTGTTCCTGTATCCACAAAGATCCCACCGGTCAAATCTTTTTTAAAGTTCCACCATGATGGGCTCAGTTCAACTTCCCTATCATTAATGAAAACTTTATAAAGATTGACAAAATAAAACGAAGGATACTTGATATTTGGTACTAGTTTTGCTGATGTTGCTCTTGGCCATTTGGTTGTATGGAAGTTAAGTGTAGATCCTGTTGCTGAATAAAATCCAGGGAGACACATGGACATTAAATCCGCTCCAAATTGTGTTGGTAAAGAATATCCACCCATGATTTTTCTACGCCCAAGGCCAGCAATTCCAGAATATTCACCACTAAAAGTAGTTCCACTTGTTTGATCTTTGCTACATCCAAATATAATCCTAACTGGTCTTTGGTCTAAAACAAAAGTAATCACATCATCTCCCATAAAACCTTTTGTTCTTGATCCATCCGCGTATTTAAAATCATAGGTACAACTATGATCACTAATACACTTAAAACTTAGGTCCAGATCTTCTAAACATCTTTCTCCATGTAGAAAGCAATCTATCTTTCGGAATACTTTCGACTCTGTGGAAACATATAAAGGCTGAAGTTTTTGTTTGTAACACTTATTTGGCTCACATGGTCCACATTGCCACCAAACTAAATCACTTCCGGTGTCTATTAGCAAGAAATTTCTAACTTCTTGACTGCCAAGCCTAAAAGATGCAACATACTCACCATTTACGAAGTATGTACTTGTTGATTTTGGAACCTTTTCGCGGTCAATCTTGCTCCCTTGCGCGTTGTGTTGCCTTGCCAGAGTTTCATTTTCACCAATTCCATTGCCATTTTCAATAATCGATGCCAATGAACTTGCTCTAGCATGACTTCGAGCAAGTCTATTTTCAAGTAATGAGTCGTAGTCCTTGAACTTTGATTTTTCAAATACATCGCGATGGTAAATAGTAAAAGTATAGGATGGCATTGGTGGATCTGGAAGCTTAGTCGGATCAAGAGACATAAATCTTTCTTTAGCTTGCTTAATATAGGTGGAGTTAAGGGGTGAAAAAGATTTTTCATTGCCCAACACTACAAGCAGAATTGAGAAAATAATTGACATCAAAAGGTGAATATAGAGGAAGTTCTCCATTGGTTTAGAACTTAGTGTAGGAAGTTATTTTTCTAATTGCTTGATTTTATGCGGAATATATATGTCTACCTCTGCTTACAATCATCAATTTCATTTCAAAATTGTAGACAGTTGAGGAAGGAATTAGTTCTCAATAAAGCTAATATTAGATTTTTTGCCCTTTTTTTCCCTTTTCCATAATTGCAAAAAGGATCAGATTTTGACTACTATTTAATTTTTTGCAAATGAAACAATTATTTTCATTTTTCACGATCATTGTTCCTAAATAGAGAGCATAAAATCTCATAACATAGTCTGGAGTCTATGCTATTAAGGAACTTTATTAATGTAGTATCATCATTTTACTATAACTTGCAAGTTTTCGTTGGATCTAATTTATTATATATCATATTTTACCTCTATAGTAGCCTGTTACTTATAGGATCAATAACCATCATTACTCCGATATGTTATTTGAAAAATTACGTCCCTAACAACCTTACTCAAATGTCGATTTACAGTATTAATTACTATTTTATGGTAACAGAAAAGTAATCTATTAAATATATTTTATTGAAGAAACAATATTAATAAATTTTGTAAGTTCCGAGGAAGTTGGGACACATAAGCTCTTTTGAAATTTCAAATTAATGAACTTGAAGATCTGAAAAAATGCTATTATAGGTGTATAACAGTATAATAACCAATTGCTCAAATGCTACTATAGGTGTATAACAGTATAATAACCAATTCCTATAATATGCAGAAAAAACATGTTGGCCTAAGTAAGTTTTGATGATTGACAAAGGAGCACATAAATGAATCAGGTCCATACACAGTGTATACAGGCACAGACAGATTCAAACACAAGGCATGTCCGTGAAGGAGATAAGCATAAGTGGTTATATCTGATATCTCCTGAACAAAAATGTTGCATAATTGTTAAGGAGTAGGACTCCTTACTTGAAGACAACTCTATCCTAGATAAGATATGAGTTAGAAGTTGAAGATAACTAGAACTCTTCCACCATGGAAGAGTATAGCATTAGAACTATAGTTGTGTAACTACCCGACCGGTCATTTTGAGTATTATAGCCATGTTCTCCCATTTATTGCTTATTCTGTGTTTGTTTGTCGTTACGTGACTTTCCGAGGTGGTTGGTTCGGTTCGGGGGATGTTTTAGAATGAATTGGGATACTTGGTCCCAAGGTAAAGCCTAAGTTGAAAGAATTGAACGGATATTGACTTATGTATAAATGACTCCGGAATTAAGTTTTGATGGTTCTGATAGCCTTGTATGATGAATTTGGATTAGGAGTGTGTCCGGATGTTGATTTTGAGGTCCATAGATGATTTCGGCTTGAATTGGCGAAAGTTAGAAAAGTTGAAGTTTGGAGAGTTGAGAAGTTTGACCGAGAGTTGACTTTATTGTTACCGGGCTTAGATTTTAGTTTCGGAAGTTGGAATAGGTCTGTTGTATCATTTATGACTTGTGTGCAAAATTTAAGGTCAATCGGAGTTGGTTTCATATGTTTCAGCATTTGTTTTAGAAGTTAAAAGTTCACAAGTTCATTTGGCTTGAATCGATATGCGATTCATGGTTTTAGTTTCATTTGATGTTATTTTAGGCTTCGAGCGAGTTCGTATGATATTTTAGGACTTGTTGGTATGTTTAGTTGAGGTCTTGGGGGCCTCGGGTGGATTTCGGATGGTTAACGGATTGAAATTGGACTTAGACGAGTTATTGATCTGCTGTTAAGTCGCGATCTCACCCGCGGAAGATTGGTCACAGGGGCGCGACCACAGAAGAAAGCCTGGGGTCACAGGCACGGTCTTCTGGTGTTGGTCAGTAGTCGCAGGTGCGAGGATGTTTTCCGCATATGCGAACCCGCATATGCGATGAGTCTCCGCAAATGCGGAGTTTGGTAAATGTAGCTGGACACGCAGGAGCGGAATGGAATCCGCAGGCCCAGATGCGCAGGAGCGATGAGCAGATGATAGAAGCAGTCTTGCAGGCACGATGGTTTTGCCGCACTGGGGAGTCCGTAGGTGCGAAGATGCCTGGGCAGAAGATAAAATCGAGGGTCTTGAGTTTTTTTCCTCATGTTTGGACTTTGCAAGCTCAGGTAGTGGAGACTTTTGAAAGGGGTTTCACTAAATTTCAAGAGGTAAGCCACTTTTGATCATTTTTATTCATTAATATTGATTACCCATTGAATTTCTCACCTAGATTATGTGTTTTTAAGGTGGAATTAGGGAAATTTTGGACTAGGGACTAGAGAGTAAGATTTCGAGATTTGAGTGTCGATTTGTGGTCGGAATTGGGAAGTTTTGGTATAGTTAGACTCGTTATCAATGGGTTTTCGGATTTTGTAAATTTTATTGGATTCCAAGACGTGGGCCCTGGGTTGACTTTTGGGTCGACTTTTTGACTTTTGTTAAAGAACCTAGATTTATCATATGGAATTGATTCCTATAGCTTGTATTGATTGTATTAAGTTGTTTGCCTAGATTCGCATCGTTCGTAGGCTGATTTGGGAGGCAAGGGCTTGTTGGAGTAGAGGTTTGCATGGTTTGAGGTAAGTAACACTTCTAAACTTGATACTAAGGGTAAGAATCCCTGAACTATGTATTATGTTGTTGGTGTTGAGGTGATGCACATGCTAGTGACGGGCGTGTGGGCGTGCACCGTAGTAATTGTGAGTCGATTGATTCCGTCGAACTGTGTAATTATCTAATCTTATTATAATTAATGTATTCTCCACGTGTTAGAAAAATTGAGCTGTGATTCATATTAAAAATTATGTTTAGGCTATATACTGGTACAGTTGAGACCCACAGAGGTCATTTCTGTTGTTGAATTATTTGGTTAGTTTGCAATTATGTACTGAGCCACATCTATCATTTGCATATCATATCTCAGTCTCCGTTGCCATTTATTGTTACATCATATTATCATTGTTTGGGCTGATTGTCATGAGATTTGTGGGTCCGAGAGACTGGAGAGATTGATGACTGAGTGAGGCAGAGGGCATGATTGTGAGTAATATTTATGGGACCGGGCTGCATGCCACAACAGGCTATATTGATTCATGCCATTATTTGGCTTATATTAGCGTTTGGGAAGGATCTGCCCCTACAGAGTCTGACATACCAGCAGTGAGCATAGGTACTGATGAGTGGGAGTGCCGAATGATTGATAGTGCTGAGTGATTGAGAGTGCTGAGTGATTGGGAGCACCGAGTGATTGAGCGTGCCGAGTGAGGATGAATACTCCGAGTGTATGAGTATGACTTTATCATTATGTTGCGTTATAGTTGACATGCACACTTGACATGTAGATATTGAGATGTGACATTCCTCATATTAGTCATACTTGGCATATTCTATCTGTTTTGTGCTCAAACAGTTAAAAACTAGAAAGCATGTCTACATTTTTGTACTGTCTAAAAATTGATTATTGGATTTCTCTCTGTGATATTACTGTTATTATCTGGATTTGGACAGTACCTATCTGAGCTCGTCACTTCTTTCAACCAAGGTTAGTCCTGTAAGTTATTGAGTATATTGGGTCGGTTGTACTCATACTATACTCTGTACTTCGTGTGCAGATCTAGGTACTTCTGGACACGGTGGTTGCAAGATTTGGAACTTCATCTGCTTGAAGACTTCAGGTAGCTTCTTTGGCGTCCACAAACTTCACTCTCCTTATTTTCCTTTTATTTAGCACTTTTCTATCTTTCCAGACACTTGTATTTGACATTTTGACTATATAGTCATTTAGATGCTCATGTATTGAGTGACGCCTATATTTTGGGGTATTTTGTATTGAGTCGCGGTATTTTCTTATCGGTTATTTATGAGAATTTGTTACTGTTAAACCTGTTCCATTATCTTTTTAACTAAAAATACATAGTTAGTGGTGATTGTTGGCTTGCCTAGTATTGTGATAGGCGCCATCACGACATATGAGATTTTGGATCATGACAAGTTGGTATCAGAGCCTAGGTTATATAGGTCTCACGAGTCATGAGCAGGTTTAGTAGAGTCTCACGGATCGGTACGAAATCGTCTGTACTTATCTTCGAGAGGCTACCGAACCATTAGGAAAACTTCATTTTCTTGTATTCTTGTCATGCAGATTTATTGATTCCGGAAACTAAACTTCTATTATTCTATTCTCTCACAGATAGTGAGGACACGTGTTACCGGATCGGGGGGACGACCACTAGTACCGCCAGCTAGTGCCAAGAAAGGTCGGGGCCGTAGTAGAGGCCGAGGTGTAACTCATACAACAGCCAGAGTAACACCTGTGGAGCTTCCAGTTGCTCCACCTCAGGAGTAGATCCTAGATGTGGTTGAGCCAGTGGGACCAACTCAGGCCCCAGCTGTGCCCATTGTGATTCCAGGACTTCAGGAGGCTTTGGCCTAGATATTGACTGTATGCACTAGCCTTTCTCAGGCGGTTTCAGGT